GTGATGACCACAGTCTTACACCAACAGTGTGTTTTAGAATGATCTGAACATTCACAACCTTCACGTGTTTGTTTTATGATAATAATAGTGTATGTTTAAAGTGGTTAAAATTGTATATGAACCTTAGTTCATATTACTTATATCTTCACAGAGTAAACAAATCCATTAGAATTTACCAATAACCTATATTTTATCACTTGCATAGGAATAACCAGTGTTGACTATCATCAGAATCAAATTCCATTTGGTGTAAAGGACAATAATAGCTGTGAAAATGAATGAATTGGTTTACGTTTCGAAGGTTTTTGTAAACTGTGAGTAAAAGTGTAAGTAAAATTAAACTTGTAAACGGATAACTGTAACATGGCAAGTTGTATAAAGGATAGATCTGCTTCAAAAAAATTTGTACTGGAAACAATGTTCGGAACTGTGTCTTTTCAATCAGTTTTGGGATTTTTTTTTCACAAAATGTTTTTATTGGTTCCCAAGATGACAATGTTATACATATACAAAAACAGATAAATGATGTACCAATATTATATCAATACTATATTAATAAACATATATACATGTAAATCAATAAAAGAGAAAGATGATATGAGGTATATATTGATACATTTGAAAGTCATCCAAGTACTGGGAAGAGAAGGCCTCATTTGTGATTGTCATTTTAATTTTATTATTATTTTTTTATATTATTTTCCACAAAGAATATTTAAACCTTGGATAGTCTTGGATAGTTTTGAGTTGTCTTGGATAGAGGTGTTTACTAGATCACCAGGTAGGTTTGCTGAACATTTATGGATAGACAAGTGTTAAAACGTTTAAATACCTCAACAATATCACAACTGTAGAAGTCAAGAAGCGCAAACAACAGCAGTATCGACTAAGAAGTATAATTAGCATAGTTTCAGGTAATTGTAGAGGCCTAGCCGAAAAAGGTAAACGTAAAGAAGTCATGAATTTATATAGAAAAAAGAAATTCTCAATCATATGTTTACAAGACATACATATTTCTGCAGAGTATGAGAACACAATGAGAAATGAATGGGGTTTAGAATGTGTCATTGCTCCATATAAGTCAAACTCAAGAGGCGTTGCCATTCTTCTAAATAATAATTTTGAATATGAAATACACAATGTTTCTAAAGACGAAAATGGAAATTACATAATTTTAGTTATAACTGTTGATGACATAAGATTAATCCTTACAAATGTATATGGACCGAACTCTGATAGTCCTTCCTTTTATATATCTTTATTTGATAAGATTGTAAATATGGGTAACGATTCAATTGCAGTATGTGGAGATTGGAATCTTGTCTTAGACCCCTCCATAGACCTTGAAAACTATAAACACATTAATAACCCACAGGCTCGTAAGACTGTCTTGGACCAAATAGACAATTTAAACTTAATAGACGCATGGAGAGAGTTAAACCCTAAAACAAAAAAGTATACATGGTGGAAAAAGAATCCTCGCCAACAAGCCAGATTAGATTTCTTCTTGGTAACTGAAGACCTCTTTAACATAAATAGTAATATATCCATCATACCTGGTTATAAAAGTGACCATTCTGCTGTAACGTTATCTTTATCAACACAAAAAAATAAGGAAAAGGGACGCGGCTTTTGAAAGTTTAACGCATCATTATTGAGACAAGAGGAATATATCACACTAGTAATTGACTAGTAAGTAACAAAACGAAAATACGCAGACCCTACATATTCAGATGAAGAATTAAACGAGATTAATGATGAACACTTACGTTTGACTATCAGTGACAGTTTTAATGAAACTTAGAGGAAAATCCATCTCATACTCTTCATATCATAAGAAAAGCAGAACTGCAAAATATAAAGAACTAGAGGAGAATATATGTCATATAGAAGATGAAATAAGAAGTAACTTCCAAAACGTTAATGAAACACTTCATGCTGATTTATCTAAAAGTAAAAATGAATTGGAAAAAATAAAAGAAGTAGAAATAAAAGGAATCCAAGTTAGAAATAGAATCCAGTGGTATGAAGAAGGGGATAAACCTACAAATTATTTTTGTCATTTAGAAAATAGAAACTATACAAACAAACTCATTAACTCCCTTATGGTGAAGAAATAGCAGATGGACGAGAAATAATAGTGGAACAAAAGCGATTCTATGAAAACCTGTATAAATGAAATTGTGACATAGATGAAGACATTAAAGCTGTATTCGAACATATTGCTACTCCTTCTTTAAATAAAGAACAGTCAAATGAACTAGAGCGCGATATTAGTGTTGAAGAACTTTCGCATGCTGTTAAATCAATGAAAAAAATAACAGAAGTCCAGGTTTAGATGGCTTCCCTATCGAATTCTTCAATTTTTTCTGGAAAAATCTGAAAATTTGGATTATATATAAAAGAAACTTTCAACCAGAATTCTATGACTACGACAATGAATAGAGGAGTAATTACATGTATCCCTAAGCCAGGTAAGGATAGAAGATACCTAAAGAATTGGCGACCTATCTCTCTCCTAAACGCATTGTATAAAGGTAAAAGTACTTGTATAACAAACAGGATTAAAAAAACTTTGAATTTTCTTATAAACGAAAATCAAACAGGATTCATTCCAGGAAGATGCTTTACGGAAAACATTAGACTTCTTTATGACATTATGTTTGAAACTAAAAGGCAAAACATAAAAGGTTTACTAATCTTAATTGACTTTGAAAAAGCTTTCGACACCGTGTCAAAATTATTCATTAAGATGGTCCTAGACAAGTTTGGTTTTGGAAGTAACATTCAAAGATGGGTTAACATATTGATTTCTAATGCATCCTCGTGTATGATACAGAATGGTCACTTGTCCACGTTTTTCGATAATGAAAGGGGATGTAGACAGGGTGATCCCATATCTCCATATTTATTCTTATTGGTAGCAGAAATACTAGGAATAATGATCAGAGACAACCACAGAATAAAAGGAATTGTTTTAAACGACATCGAACATGTTATTGGTCAATATGCAGATGACACTGAATAATTTTTGGACGGTTCCGAAACCTCTCTTAATGAAGCTATGAAAACTTTGCTTTCCTTTTACAAGATGTTTGAAAATAAATATTGATAAAACAAAAGCAGTATGGCTAGGCTCAATGGCAGGTAGTAAAATAGTTCTATCCCATGGCTATAAGCTGGATTGGCATAATGAGAATTTCGAAGTATTGGGAATCAAATTAAATGCTCATTTAGAAAACCTATGGGTAATCGATACAAAGAAGAGACTCGAAAATATAAAAAGAATTCTACTGAATTGGAAAAGATGCAATTTAACGTTGATAGGGAAAATAACCGTCGTTAAAAGTTTAGCTTTATCCAAGATTGTCCACAACTTCTCTTCTCTCCCTAATCCCCCAAAAACATTTATTACTGATTTGAACAGATTATTCTTCAAATTTATATGGAATGATAAAATTGATAAAATAAAACGAATTAATTTAGTACGAAGGTACGAAGAAGGTGGTCTAAGAATGGTCGACGTGAAAACCTTTATCGACTCTTTAAAACTTTCATGTTTGAAGAGATATATTTCAAAACCTAAGAACTATGCTCTCGCCGGTTTCCCTCTACAAAACCTTCTTTTTTTAGGAGCCAACATCACAAAACATTATAATATTAAAAATCCATTTTGGAAAGATTCGCCTGATGCCTGGCATAGATATGTTAAAAGATTGGTATGTAACAATAACGACATTAATGAAATACTCATGCAGCCACTATGGTTAAATCACCAGTGTAACCAGCCAAGTTTGATCATTCATAACTGGATTAAATGTGGAATAGTTTATATTAAAGATATTTGTAACGACCACGCATTTATAACATTTGCAGAACTTAAGGCAAAATTTGATATTAAAGGTACTGTACTTGACTTTAATCGTGTTCTCCTTGGTATACCTAAACAGTGGAAAGGAGTTATACGAACAAACAGCAATTTTAATATACCGTCATTATTTATGTGACCTCCTTGGAACGATTTGATTAAACCTAGTAAAGGTTCAAGGATGTTCTATGATAATTTTATATCTGACTATAACATCCCGAAGGTTTGTCTCAAATGGAACGGGGAACCAAATGAGTTGATAAATTGGAAAACCATATTTTCACAATATAGACAATGGACTAAAGACACGAAACTCTTAGATTTTCAATATAAGTTTTTGCATAGAGTCATTTACACTAAACGAGAATTACTAAAAAATGAAATTGATAGATAATGACCTATGTACATTATGTGGTTCAGTAAGTGAGGATATTTACCATGTATACCTTGATTGTCCAACCATCAAAATGTTCTGGTCAGAAATTAACAATTTTATAACTCAAGTCCTTGGTAAAACGTATGAAATGTCAAACCATGATATTCTATTTGTTGCAGTAGTAACCACTTACTCAACCACATGATACTATTGGCAAAGCCCCACATTTTCGTAATGAATATAACAGGACACAAACCTAGCTTCACCATCTACAGAACATTATTAAAAGATGTCTACGAGATAGAGAAATTTATCGAGAAGAAAAACGATAATATGAAACATTTTTTACAGAAAATGGAATGTCCTAGATGCAGTCCTGTAATTTATTTTTTAGTCTTTTAATTCTCTGTAATATTAGCTAGCATCTCAATTGTTAATCTATATTCCCAGTACCATATGTTATACATTGTCTGCTTTTTATTATGCAACCATTGTACCTTGTTCAAATGTAACCAAGGAAAGTGATTAAAAATACTTTACAAAAAAAAAAGAAGAAAAAAAAGAAGTATATCGATGCTCAAGGTTGATTATAATCAAATTTGATGCGAAAGAGAAAGCCGAAAGGTGAAGATAATTATTTCAACTACCGACAAACTGCATTATAGGGGGCTTTACATTTTCTTGTTCTAATCTCAGGGAATAGGGAAAAGATCTCCAGAATGAGTACAAAGATTCACTCCTTTCGTGCCTTTTTTCGGGGCTGAGGCTCTTTTTCAATGGACTCGAAATCCACCTCAACTTTCGTGCGTTTATTCCGGTCATACTGTCTGAAACAAGCACGATTATTGTAAGTACAGTCAATCAATACAGTCAATGTATGGTTTAAGTTTTACGAAAGTCGTTCTTTATGGAAACAAAAACAATCATGTACATGTCATCACAAGACGATGTGGATTTCAAATGAAACCCAATTGTGTTAACTAAGACCTTAGATTTTATCTTTGTAGACTCTTTTATGAAATGGAACGTGACACTCCGTTAAATCTTAAGATTGTATGTTACAGAGTCATTTTTGTTTTAAATTTTTTTTTATTGTTATTATGTATATAATGTAACTACCAATGACTGACATATACCGAGCTGTGGAAATAGGGTTCAAGACTCACATTTCCAGTTGGTAGAAAATTACTTTATTGAAAATTATACCATCAAACTTTTTACAGTCTAATCCATGCAGATGTAAACGATTAATATATACTGGCTTCAATACCAGAAGCAGTATCAAGAGTAAATAAGCATTGGGGAACCATTTAGGTTAGGACAATTACAAACCTAGTTTTGACACGAGCCTCTTCAAACAATATCTTCGCGGCTTCTACTTCCTCCTTGTCATTTTTCTTGTCGGAGTAGTAGACAACTTCCTTGATGCCGGACTGGATGATGATCTTGGCACACTGGTTGCATGGAAACAGGGAAACGTAGATAGTGCCGCCTTCCAAGTCTGCTGAGAACCTGTTTATGACTGCACTCATCTCCGCATGGCAGACTAGCAGCAAAACAAGGGGACCACAAATACAGCTTGGAAGTTCACTTTCGAATTTTCCACTTTAGTATACACAATAAATGAGTATTTGCTACGTGCAACCCTAATCAATAAAAGAAAAAAACATCCCCGCCAAACACGCGGACGTCGTCCAGTCTGGGCTGCTAAACTGAGTGACTGACTGTCTGCGGCACTGACGTTTGAACAGGGTAACAATCGATCGCTACACTTGTTGGGCATCCCATTGTAACCTGTCCCGACGATCCTTTTCTTAGGATTGACAATACAGGCTCCGACCTACAAATAACCCATGATTACTACATAATCCTCGTATGCATGATGTTATTTCTCGTTACAACTTTTAGGGACACTGCTTGGGCAAAGCACCTCCCCAGCATGTCATAGGATTGGGGTAAAGTACCATCATTCTGTAGGCGAGGGTGGTTGATAATACCATATACGTCTGGTGAGTGCACACTGTACTTTGAGCAGAACAATCGTGTTGATGTAGGGTGACTATTCGTGAGATGTGGACCCCATTTTACCTGCGTCACAGGATCTTTGCTTCTCATTCCAGACAGAAATGCAGTGGCCATGAAGTACTCCTCCCAGTCCAGGCAACCCTCTTGTCTTTTGCCACTATCACCAAACGTTCTGTTTTATGTAAAAGGTTAACTAATAAAGTATCTCTTTCAATGATCTTTCATCAACGTACAGTAATAGCTTACAGTTGTATCACAGGGTGGACTATGTTTCGGGCGGCCCCATGTACCACTGCAATGGGGAGTAATTATGCTGGCTGCTTTTACAGAATTTTAGGAATGGTGGAGTAATGGAGGATACAGGAAGGAAACTTGGGTTAGGTATGATGTCATCAAAACGTAAGCTTGGTGTAATACACGTGGCTCTAAATGATATGCTGCTGGGGTATACTTGATATACTGCTGGGGCATACATGATATACTGCATGGCAACATGACCTACTGCTAGGGTATACATGATATACTGCTGGAGTATACATGATATACTGCAAGGCTACACATGACCTACTGCTAGGGTATACATGATATACTGCTGGGGTATACATGATATACTGCTGGGGTATACATGATATACTGCTGGGGTATACATGATATACTGCTGGGGTATGCATGACATACTGCTGGGGTATACATGACATACTGCTTGGGTATACATGATATACTTCCAGGGTATACATGATATACATTTATTTAGAATATATATCTATATATGAAATTGTGATGATACCAGGTGTTCAAGAACAGGTGAGCGACCGTCATAAACAAAATCACTGTAAATGGCGACATTGGACGGAGACTACTATTTACGTATTTCGTGTTGAATACAGATACATAACCATCATTCCCGTTTTCATTAATCTCAACAAATGAACATCAATACATTTACTTTGATACAGAAGTGTAAAGTATATATCATATAGGCCTTGATATGTAATAGCACCTTTATTGTGGAGCTATGAGAAGTCACTGTATCTCACACACCATTAGTATTATATGATGTAACAGATGAATTTTAATGACAATCGACTTTTACCTGACTTTTGTCTGTGATCTCAATTCCATCTTAATACGTTGTTTGTCAGCAAGTGTAGGCAGACCCAGCGTATGACACCCAGCCCAGACTCAGCTTGTCATATACCCCTGTGGTCGATGTACGAAACATAACAAGTACCTGCAGCGTGTAAAACTGCCGTAAATCGGGTTAAATCGGGCTTAAAAGCGCCCCGGCGTCGAACCTGTTAAAGACAGGTCACTTTTGATGATACCACCAGTTAGCCCTGGGAACCAGCTTCACGTCAATGGGTTGTGTATAGTCGTCGTCCACGCGACGTTTAAACAACGGCACCCACTGTTTCTGGCCCCTGATATAGGCCTCTGATTCGACATCACAAGCACCACTGTTTGGTTTGGGCTGAAAATGACGTCAACTTGGCATGCCGGACATGGCGCCAGGACATTTGATTGATAATCTAGATGCTGTCCAGACTTTTCCGCAAGAGGGCTTGGTGCCCAACCCGTGAAGATCCGGGTTAGAGAATTGGTCTTCAGCTGCGACTAACGGGATCGGGTGGTCAGGCTTGAGGACTTGGTTGACACATGTCATCGTATCCCAGTTGCGTACATCGATGCTCATGCTGTTGATAACTAGGCTGTCTGCTCCAGACTTAATTATTTACAGATCCTATAGCCTTAATATTGCTGAGTGCGGCGTTAAACAACAAACCAGCCAACCAGCTCTGATGACCACCTCACAGAGGGAGACCAGAGTCCGCATGGACCGACCCACGCGCATCCTGTCCTGTATCACCATTTTACACAATAAATTTGTGTTTATGTCTTTCATGTGTAGTTTCAGATTACGTAATATATCCTTATTCTTAGTCAAGTTAGTTGTGGGGCACATGACAACGGACATTGAACAGATCTTCACTCAATCTTGTTACTGGCTATTTTAACAGATGCAAGCAATTTCACGCATCGCCTTTCGTAGCGGCGATCCTCAGCAAAGTTGAGTGGTAAACGTTTTGTAAAATTTACTGCTATACAGGGGTAATTTCCGGTATTTATCGTCAATCATAAAATTGGGTCATTCGCCTATTGGATATATAGTCATCACTCGCAAAGCTGAACTACATATGAAAAGTGCGATCGCTATACCTGCGACAGGAGCACCTGATCTGGTGACTGTACCTCTATATACCGAAATATATACCCTTTATTACATCAGTTGTGGGCGTCACGAGTGACAAAGTTGACAAAAGTTCTCGTCCCATAGGTGCCCGGATCACGTGGTCAAGTCCAGGATGATTATGTTATTTGTCTTGTTAAAACCGTATCCATGCTCGTTTGTTTCAACAAAGATGAAATCGTCTAAGGTGTATAATTACGCAGATAATTATCTCTCATATTCAAACTAACTTATCTTACCGCACACATAAATGTCGTATTCTGATTGGCTGAGCCAGTCGATGTACCTTGCTTCCAAGCGAGTAACATTTTCTGTTACTCGCTGGGAATGCCGAACTGTGGCAATTCATTTGGTACATGGTGTTAGTAGTGTTTTTCCGTATTGGCAATAATTGCCTAATTCTGGTACTCCTTATTATGATCTGGCCCCAATTTCTCGAAACAAACTTAAGTTTCAACTCAAATTTCAAACTGAGTTTAACAATTTGAAACAGCTGAATTTTAAATCAACTACATTTTTAGAATAAATAAGCCCAAACAACTCAAGTATGTTTGAGTTTAACATCAATTTCAGTTTATTCTGGGAAATGCATTTCTGTGTTTTCTCAAATGTGAGTAAAAACTACAACTTTATATAGCAATTGGGGCCTAATATCCGTGCTTCAAACAGTTCAAAATTAACATTCAGTGGTTCGGTAAGATCAATACGTTGCTCACTGATCCCTCGGGACTCATGGGTTGATCCATAAACATAAACAAGCATACAGAGTACATCAGCCCATGTCCTCCTCGCGACCAGAGAACAGCCTGTGATGTCGTGCTATTACTGAAGTAGTGTGATAAATGAGACCAAAATAACCGAATATCACGTACAAACAAACAAATTAGCAAACAACCTTCCTGAACAACACATCTAATTTAATTTGAATGCGCCATAGTCGAATTCTATTGTAACCTCCCGTGTTTGTGTCATGGACTTTTGCCCCCGGGTAGAGTGTTTAATCAGATAACCTTTGAGAGTGTAAAGTCGAGTGTTTGTCAGCTTGCCAGTTCTTGGAAAGGGTGATTTTTGCAGATAGCTTAGTTCTTGGAAAGGGTATCAGCTGTTTCAGCTTATCGTCAACAATCGATAGAAGTGACCTACCGTCACCTGGTTTTAGCTTAAATTTGCTTTCGGTTCTTGGAAAGGGTGGATGTATATCTGCTGTTAATGTGTATGTTTTGTGACAGAGGGTTTAAAAGATGGATGTTATATTTGATGATTGTTCCGTGACGATGACTGACCATTTATCGCGGAGATATTGGTGACTGGCGATTATATTGGAGTCTACAACAAAGCCCCTAATGTCTGCGACATCTCTGTTCATCAGACATGACACCATCACTGACTGGGACAGGCAGGTTCCTCAACTTTCTTTCCTTTACCTAACATACACTTATGAAAGGAGTGTACAATGAACCTAAAAGAAAACCCAGCAAAGGTGAAATTAAATATAGTCAGACAAACAGACAGACAGACAATATATTTCGAGTATTCAAAGTCATGGTACATATTACAAAAGGGATATTAAGTCAGTCAGACTGACAGACTGACAGACAGACAGACAATATATTTCGAGTATTCAAGGCCATGGCCCATATTACAAAGTGTATATTACAGTCAGACAGACAGACACACAGACAGACACAGAGAGACAGACACACAGACAATATATTTCGAGTATTCAAGGCCATGGTCCATATTACAAAAGGGATATTATAGTCAATCAGACAGACAGACTGACAGACACACAGACAATATATTTCGAGTATTCAAGGCCATGGCCCATATTACAAAAGGGATATTATAGTCAGTCAGACTGACATAAAGCAGGCAGATCATCAAGACTTGAAATTCATCTTCAACGAGAAATAAATTTTTACTATGACAATAGGAGCAAAATCTTTCACTAGCAGGTAAATTGCAATTCCAGGGGTTCAATTTTTTTTTAAAAAGCCACTTGCCACAGGGCAAGTGACTTTCAGAAGGTAACTTGTCCTGACTAATTTTCCACTTGCCCTGATTTTATGACATAATTATGATGATGTAATTATGAAAGAATAAATCAACATGGTATTTGATGTTAATGTTTACTGGACTATTAATTGAAAAGTCATACATATCAAAGAAAGATAACTCTACTTTATCATCATTGCGAAATTTAATAGCTACATTTTGAGCAGATATGAAATTAAATCAAAGTTTATTTGCAGTTTGAAACCATAAGTGCAAATTATCTAGTAGCCCACGGACAAGTAAGATACCATTATTAGATTGCCCGAAATGAAAACTGACTTGTCCCGGGCGTCGGGCGATGGGATTTTTGAACCCCTGAATTCCTTCGTTTCAATTGCTAGCCTGAAATTATTACACCTGAATTTACAGATAACAGTTCTTAAATGTAGTGGAATGACAATTGAAAGATAAAACTCAACTTGTAACATTAAATTGACAATGAGTTTGACACTTGCTCAACTGTGCCATTCCTGGCTCAAGGAGTCAAATAATCGCTGTGTAAAATAGAAATAAACATTTTCACATTGCCAATATCTTGACATATCCACACAATTCCGAAACCGAATTGAAATAAAATGTTTCTCACATGAGAGGCCCAAGTAGTTCTACCCACATCATCAGGGTTTTTAAGCATTAAGTAAGACTGATAAGGTAAACGATTATAATCTAATTGAATTATTCTACACCAATATTTTATTAGTTTTAACATATAGTTATACTGAAGTGGTACTGTACCACATTCACCGAGTGCCATAACATCACATGTGTTCTTATGTAACCTTAATACTCTCTTGCAGAAGCTAGTGTGTACTCTTTCAATGGTTTTACAATAGTGGGTACCCCAAACATCCATATGAAATAATTGGAACAAGCATTGTATCAAATATCTTGAAGGCATCAGTACACGAGACAAAACCATGCTTTCATTGATAATTATATAATGACATCAGTGCCTTGTTAGCCTGAGCTGCTAAACAGCTTTGTGCCTTTGTCAGTTTGACCATGACAAAGTTGGTGTGAAGACAACCCCATGCTTTCTTTGATAATTATATAATGACATCAGTGCCTTGTTAGCCTGAGCTGCTAAACAGCTTTGTGCCTTTGTCAGTTTGACCATGACAAAGTTGGTGTGAAGACAACCCCATGCTTTCTTTGATAATTATATAATGACATCAGTGCCTTGTTAGCCTGAGCTGCTAAACAGCTTTGTGCCTTTGTCAGTTTGACCATGACAAAGTTGGTGTGAAGACAACCCCATGCTTTCTTTGATAATTATATAATGACATCAGTGCCTTGTTAGCCTGAGCTGCTAAACAGCTTTGTGCCTTTGTCAGTTTGACCATGACAAAGTTGGTGTGAAGACAACCCCATGCTTTCTTTGATAATTATATAATGACATCAGTGCCTTGTTAGCCTGAGCTGCTAAACAGCTTTGTGCCTTTGTCAGTTTGACCATGACAAAGTTGGTGTGAAGACAACCCCAAGATACCTATAATCATTAACAACATCAATTATAGTACCATACAGTATCAAAAGAAAGACTTACCCTTTCCCAACATTCACACATAGCCACATTTAAAAGGAGATCGGAAGTGACAAAGTTAATGTCGGAATACTCCATGAGGAACAAATCCCCAAAGTCAGGTGTTTGAGAATCACAGGGATCCGAGTACATTGTATCCATATTCAAGCCATGCCACTCCTGCCTGTCTCCAATAGAGCAGGTATACTCAAGATCAACGATCCACGTCCCTACAACACACAGTCCCCTCGTCGGGGAAGCCTGGTCCCTATTACTGGCTGACACGACAAACATGGTGAACTGCGACCCAGTTCCCAGAAATCCCCACCAAGGGGCACAGATGTGTATTTTGGGAACCAGGAAGTAATGTACATGTCACTACACAAAGTGAAAAATCTTATTACACGTTCAAAATAAGTGTTATATTATATCATAAAAGGGGCGGGTCCAGTATTTTCGAGAAGGGAGGTGCACAGAAAACATTAAGCCGAAAGTTTAAGGGGAAATGCTCGTCACTCTCTCTGTGGATCTACTAAGAGAAAAGTAGTGTTATCATTCTTCTTTCTTTAAAAACAATCAGACGTAAGCTTCTTACAAACAAAAGGTTCCAGGGATTCAAAGTATTCTGCTAGATAAACTTGAAACAATCTGAAGCAAACTTATCCCAAATTGTTTCACATTTATGATCAACATTTCTCAAATCTATCAATACTTCATGAAGTCGCCATCTTGAAAACTGTGCAATAGTTAAAGTCAAATATGCCCGAGACGCTAAACAGCTGTGCAAGTCATGAGAAACGTGGCTGTATACCGCATTGTGAGACATGCAATCCAGCAGTCAGAAATATCACAGCTTAGCCTTCTCAAGATGTCACAGCCAAATGAGGGAACAAATCTAGTTTACCCTGCAGCCAGCAGTGTTCCAACTGTACAACAATTCCACTAAAGCACTGACAAAGAGCGAGTGAGTGAATTGGTGTAAAGCCGCTTTAACAGTATTCCAGTTACATCATGTCAACAGTGTGCGAAATAGCCACTGGCCCACTAGCCCGTGGCTAGTAAAAATCCTGTCGGGCCAGTAAATCCCCAGTCACTGGCCCGACTGGCTAGTGAATTTTCATGGGGTCATTTTGAAAATATATCACTCTCTCCGACTTGATAAGCTATAACAAACTCATAAATCCTGCAATATTATGGCTAATAAAAATGTTCATCAGATAAAACCCGTGTCATGCCAACAATATCATATTCTCATCTATTTTTGTAATATTCTGCTTAGCTTCAACATTCAAATTTCGGGCTAGTGAATTATTTTGTTGGTAGTAATTTTCACGCATAACTAACCCTCCTGGCATGCAAAATGGGGAAACTATTTCGCACACTGTATCATGTGATCTTAATGGGGGAGAAAGGTCTGATGTGGCGCTGGCCTTTAACTCACTCACTCACCAAAGTGCTGAAGCCAACACGCAGAGGTATGGAGCTGACACACCAACATGTTCTGGGTGAACACGGATACAAACCAACATGTTCTGGGTGAACACGGATACAAACCAACATGTTCTGGGTGAACACGGATACAAACCAACATGTTCTGGGTGAACACGGATACAAACCAACATGTTCTGGGTGAACACGGATACAAACCAACATGTTCTGGGTGAACACGGATACAAACCAACATGTTCTGGGTGAACACGGATACAAATCAACATGTTCTGGGTGAACACGGATACAAACCAACATGTTCTGGGTGAACACGGATACAAACCAACATGTTCTGGGTGAACACGGATACAAACCAACATGTTCTGGGTGAACACGGATACAAACCAACATGTTCTGGGTGAACACGGATACAAACCAACAGTCGGTCATGGCCACAAGGGAGGCAACCCTGCCATTGACGACTCCGCCACGCATGGTTCTACTGCCACTGAAATCTGGGCCAGATCACCCAATAGTCGAAATATGCACAGTCATGTGGTGGCAAGGAATCAGATAAACAAAACAAATACATGTAGTCCCTCATCTGGATTCACAAGGAACAATCAATCCGATAAAAACAAACTTCAAACTACAAATCTAACAGCACAAAGCTTTATTTAAATGAAGCATGTAAACATAATCTCAAATATCATAAATACATCATCATAAAAAGCTATTCTTCTTCATATTATTAGTTTTATAACACAAGAACTGTCACTCGCTGCTGGAAATGAAAATTAACTTCCTTAATATATTTACTGGAGACTGGGACATTTCTTGTCATGGTTGAAGGCCGACAATCCATCCATGAGTTGGTCTATACTGCTGTTCTTCCCAGATCATAACATGAATATACCATTGACAGTTGAAATAGTTTCACAAGAAATGTCTCCGGGATCAAATACAGACATATAAAATAATAACACAGAGTATGTATGTACATTCATTCAGTGAAGATTTCCCTTTAATAGGAGGACAATCCATCAGGATGTAACTCTGCCATAAGGGCAGCACCATGGCAGTTTCAGTGAAGATGTCCCTTCAATAGGAGGACTATCTATCAGGATGTAACTCTGCCATAAGGGCAGCACCATGGCAGTTTCAGTGAAGATGTCCCTTTAATAGGAAGACTATTCATCAGGATGGCAGTTTCAGTGAAGATGTCCCTTTAATAGGAAGACTATTCATCAGGATGGCAGTTTCAGTGAAGATGTCCCTTCAATATGAGGACTATTCATCAGGATTTAACTCTGCCATAGGGGCAGCACCATGGCAGTTTCAGTTATTCGGAGTGTATTTTACCAATTTGAACCAGCAAGATGTCTTCCTCAGTCAACACACTGACACAGTGATGTGATGTGCTACAGAGAGGTATCCAACATGTCTCCCCCTCATCCCCGACTGTGACAAGCAGAGAGAATCAATCTGTCTGAATCCCAACCACTATTTCAATCATATCATGGTGTGTCTGTTTCATGAGAATGCAGAGCCTGAAGAAAACAGGCCACCTCTTTAGTGAAACTCTGGACTGGTATGTCGCAGACAAACCTAAAATCTATGCATTCAAACCCAGAATTCATATTTTAAGGCATGTACAAGGGAGGTAACTCTGCACATCAAGCTGCTGCAACCCAAGGGCTCAGACCTGAGCTGCAAGAGGACTGAGGAACAGAAGGATCAAACATCCACTGATGGAAGACCTGGCTCTCGGTTCATATGTTATGTTCCACAGATGTCAAATGATGTCAAATGCCTATGTTATTAATATTGCAGGTTTCTACACACAAGACAAGTTAGCGGTGGTTTGATGATGCCATGTGGTTGCTACAGTAGGTAATGGATCGCGATCAGCTACGGAGGTGCCTCACGAGACTTTAACACAGCTGGGACAGCCACATAATGGCAAGAGTTAAAACTAATGTGAACTGACTAAAATACTGATGAAATCTCACACATTATGTTGACATCAACCTCTGTTATGTATTACAATACAGATAGACATAGCCATGTCACCTATGCTTAACCAACTAAAGGGACTGTCAACATTTGCCCATGATATCTGTCATCCGTTACTCACACAGATCCCCAACCCCATGAAACCTGGGACAATAAGCAATGATAAGCTGTGACCATACCACACAGACTGGCACAAGGCGTTAGTTAATGGTAGCTGACACAGTCTGTCCAGTTTGTAGGAGAAGCTTATGGTGTTTGTGTCTCTGAGTTGTAAAATAAGGACCATATATCTGCTGAGAAATGAAATACTAAAGAATTCATAACTAGCATGAGAATGATGTATTTTGTTTTGTTTGTTGCTTAACACCGTACTCAGCAATATTCCAGCTATATGGCAACGGTCTGTAAATAAGGAGTCTGGGCCTGGCAATCCACTGATCAAAATCATGAGCATCGACCTCCGCAATTGGTATACAATGACACACGTCAGCATGGGTTGCCAATTCTAACCTGGATCTTCACAGGCATGAAAATTGCGTGATAACATACTGCATGATATAGTAGAGAGATGAAGTTTTTAGACAGTTCTTATAAACCAATAACATGTCATGTCCAGGTTCATTAAAACAATATTCCTCTATAGGAGACTGCAGAGTTGAAGTTAAAGATGTTGTACCTCAGGGTTCAATTCCCTATGTGTACACACCAAGATGTGATAGTGCTGGAATAATGAAAATACCAGCACACCCTTTACATCACACCACACACATCACACTCAGTCAGTCAGGATTACACAAGGTCATCATCATCTTTGCCGTCAAACTGGCGTCATCCACTCCAAACATTTACTGAGTTCCAGACTCATCCAGATTGATCTTCTTCAGATCTTCTTCGACATTGTTGTTCAAAGCTTCAATGGAGCTGAAGTCAATCACAATCTGCTTTCTGGTGGGCCGATACTGTCTGAAACAAGAACAAATTGCTTACAGGAATCATCACATGAAAGACAAGACAACACCTTACTTTCCCACAGAAAATTCATATTGTACACTTGATGGACACTTAACTATGAAATATACATACATGGGAATAATATATACAGGAAAATAAGATAATCACTGACATAGCCACAGACATAAAACACATAGAACATAGTCATTATAACAAAAACGGCATTTTAAAGTATGTGTGTAATAATCATGACATGTATCACAGCTATAGTACACTTTAATCGAAGGAATAAAGGCAGGACAAGGTTTGTATGTTGCAGAAAGTTAAAAATGGATTAAAACAGAAAAATCATTTAAAAGACAAATACTGGGTGATATGAACAATTTGTGGGCACTGTTGGGATCCCTTCATCAGTGGGTACAGGACCTCTAGACTTATGGCCTCTACTATACTGATTCCCTGATGTGTCTTGACGTTTACAAAAAGAAGTACTCTTGTATTGTCTGAAAAACTTCTAGTCTCTAGCTCTCTGTACCAGAAGTCACTCTTGAACTGTTCTCTGCATGGACTGTTTATACACTGAGTTCATTGCTCGAATCGACTTTATTAACATCTGTGTCTTTACTATCACAAATACTACCCAACAAAGGTGGTTGATGATTCCCTAGTCTGAACACTAAAGATCTCACCAATGTGAGTTAGCAATTAACCAAACCTGGTGGTGGTGTCCAGTTAGCTAACTTTTTCTCAGCTACAGACTAGGACATAATCTTCAAATCCAGCATTAGAGAGTAGCGTTCCTCCACTTCTCAAGTTCGGTAGAATGATGGCATGATATGAAGACAATACTTCCTGGGAATGATAGTTGGTGATGGCAGCCATTGGATTGTTGTAGCTTTGTAGAATAAATATCTATTTTCTTTGCTCCTTGAGAAACTGGTTAATCAGTGGAATGGTTGAGGTGTAGTTATCTTGGCCTTTGATACAAGAAGTTTGAGGAGATGGTGAGGTAACGCATAATCTTCTTTTGTTGGATCTTCTTCCAATAACAGTTGTGTTTCCATGTCACAGAAGAACAAAGTGAACTCTGAAAGTTTTGAGACTAGCGAGGCTGATGTAAACTGTCAGCAGGGTTTATTCATCCCTTGTTGTTGCTGCATAGTTGTTGTTTAATCGGTGGAATGGTTGAGGGGAAGTTATCTTGGCAAAAGTATGCTTGACTTGAAAGTTAGGCTAACAACTAGTCTCAGAAATGAACATTTTTTACAGAAAAAACAGTTCATAATAGGAACAAATGAAATATAATGAAAGGGGGCCGAGAGACTTTCATTTTCAGAAAGTGAACCTGTGGAAATCTAGACTTGCCACATATTCTAGACCTGCCACATATTCTAGACTTGCATGGATGTATGTGAATGTTTCAGGGTCTGTATGACAGACTACATGTAAGTCTAGTTTAGTGGAAGAAGACAACATAATCTTAATCTTAGCCAGTCAGGAGATTTTTTCCATGATCATCAGTAGAAATAGCATGTGATTTTTTTTCTTAGATTTTATGGCCTTCTTAATCAACAGTTTTCTACTTTAACATGAGCTCCAAGAACGAGAGACTGGAACAGACTGACAAGAAGGAAGGTGCATATTGACTTCATTTTTAGGTTCCCTCTCTTCCTCTGAAAAAGGGCTTGATCCAACTCACTATCTTGAGTAGTTTTCCTTCACTGATGATGGTGAAGATGATGGTGATGTTGTTGATCATGATGACTCCCACATTGTTAATAATTAGATGACATAACTGATTCTCATTAGCTGTGTGTCCTGATGATACCAATGTCCTGATGATACCGTGCTGAAATGTCATTTTCCATGACACTAAAGTGACGTTACCAAATGGCAATAGGTAAAGTCATCTTATTGACATTATCACAAAACATGTTCGTTATTAATAAAGATCTTTTGTGTCTAACTTTAAATACTCACATTCTTTGCACAAGCAAACATCAATCTCTATATTTACCACTTGATCCCATTTTTAAGGTATTTACATTTTGGGGGAAACAAGTATATCATATAATACTAACTCTTTTTCAACGCTCATTGGTAGGCTTTTCCTAATGATTATTCTAAGTTCCAATTTCAATGGACAGGTAACCTTGCTTTATATTGTATTCGGCCCTCCCATGACTGACTGACTGACTGAGTTTGGTTTTACGCCGCTTTTAGCAATATTCCAGCAATATCACGGCGGGGGACACCAGAAATGGGCTTCACTTATTGTACCCATGTGGGGATTCGAACCCGGGTCTTCGGCGTGACGAGCCAACGCTTTAACCACTAGACTACCCCACCGCGCCCCCTCCCAGGAAGCATAATACATCAACAAAAGTTTAATTAACATGTTACTATTTTCAAACAAATCCAGCCTGGCTCTTCAGCGAATAACTGAGTGAATGTGGTCGAACGTTGCTAGCATCACCATGTCACCTATTTTCAGTGTCAGCCTGATGCAGAAGAACAACGTGATGCAGGTTGAGATAGACACTTAGATTAATGCAGAAGAATGTTTAGTAACAAGAGAACATCAGCAATCACTTCCGATATTAGCACCAACTGACATGCTCATGCCACTAAAACACATTAAGAAACTAATATAATTTGGATCTATATTGTCAAAAAAAGAATTCTTCTGAGAGCTGAAAGGATGATTCCATGTTTAATTTGCCTATTTACAAATGTTAAAACACATTTGTTTGTAGAAAACATTCTTTATGTACCTGTAAGTAATTCCAGCTAAGTCCAGAAGCGTCTTGGATGCTATGAACTCTGGTTTGTTGTGATACTTGTCGGAATAGTAGACCACTTCCTTGATGCCCGACTGGATGACCACCTTGGCACATTCGTTGCACGGAAACAGAGCCACGTATATATTGTACAGTCGGAAACAGAGCCACGTATATTGTACAGTCTTTCACATCCGCAGAATTCTTGTTTAACACAGCATTCAGTTCAGCATGGCATACTGGAATAAAACATGAAATAGCTCTTGCTTAACAGGGCATTCAGTTCAGCACGGCATACTGGAATAAAACATGAAATGGCTCTTGAATTTAACAGGACAGTCAGTAACATACACTATGCTTAAAGGTCACATGCAACGTAAAACACAACTTTGCAGATTCTGATACCTTTTGGTATGGACGTACCGAAACAAATCATCAAAAATGCAAATTCAAGTTATAAAGTTGAAAAATAACGCGATGAAAAAAAACGTGCGAAATCAGAGTTCAAACGATTCACTAATTGTCCCCAGAAAATTTCGGGGGAAAACGGGTTTCAACAGCTGGGCTGCGCTCATAGCATGTGCGCAGTGAAATAGGTTCGTGCAACTTGGAAGCGAGCTGTCTGGTGAATACTCGGTGAAGGCTTTGGTGTGAGCTATTTAGCACGAGCTTTTATATGTTATGACAATAAATAAACTGTTTATATAATTTCATTTGTCTATTTCACCACACGTTCTTCTTACCGAGTCACTTTCTTAGTTCGATACTTAAAAGCAATGTCATTATTTAGCGTTGACACAATTTCTAACTGTGATATAGATATGTTGTTGTCACAGACAAAACTCAATGTCTTGTTTTATTGACACCTGTGTGTCTGCCTGCCTGTCTGCTAATGACAATATTCAATACACAACTGCGATCACTGACCACATGCAGTTTGAACTTAACACCAATCAGGCTATACACCATAAACAAAACGCATTGATTTATGGCCCGAGTTCGGTCTCTGTCACATTATGTAATTACACAGACAGGCAGGTGTGATACTTGAACACATGACATGTTATGATGTCTGTTGAACGGCGACATCTGCAAATGAACCAGCCGTTACACTTGAGTGCACACCCACCCGCTCTGACTGGGTTCGGTATCCCGGCTGCTTCGTTTCGAGGGAGGTAAACCCAAGTACAAAATATTGCACTTTTGATTTGCGATTATATGCTTATAATTTTGTTTATTTGTTTTTTCATAATCAGCAATGCATATTATATGTCATGAAGAAGTGATAATTGTGTTTTAATTATGTTTGATTTTTTGGTTGCATTTGACCTTTAATGGGATATACTCAAAGTACAACCCATAACTATAGGCATATTACTTGTGTACTGAAGTACAGACCAATGAAGTTGTGTCATAAATGGCCAGTATGTCAACTGTTCAGCAGCACTGTCTGCTAACAATAGATGATAGCCCCCAAGCTAACTCAAAAATAGTCACTTACATTTTCTATATTAAACTCAGCACTAGCAAAACTGGAATAATAGAATTAGTTCACCATATAAATGTTTGGTCTGGAGCACATTCTCTGCATCCCGCCCCCACGGCATCCGGTCGTCACTGCAGCCGTTGGGCATCCCGTTGTAGCCAATCCCAACTATCTTCTTCTCCTTGTTCACAATGCATGCTCCGACCTGCAACATCAACACACACTGAAACAATTATTGGGAGCACTGGTGGTGGAGTGGGGGGCACCTGTTGTAGCCAGTCCCTGTTGACCTGAGGTTAAGCCTGTGTGCCATGTTACCATGATCAGCTCACCAAAACTTAACCAAACTTGAAGAGGTTTTCAATTCTTCGAAGAGAGTCGTCCTTGGGGTACATATTATGCATTTTCCAGCTGAAAAATGTCCTGTGACAGTTGTATCAATGTTTTTGAATAAAAAGATTGAACAATAAATAAACTCTTTTATTTATTATACGGCCCCTACCTCACGGAGTTACCTCCCGTTGCGCATGCGCACCAACTGGGTAGGCTCCTAGACCCGTATCATCATTCCTTCTGCGGAATATATCAGTGAACAGAATTGCGGGGAGGCGGAGGCCCTACCCAAGGGCGACTCTCTTCGAAGAATTGAAAACCTCTTCAGGTTTGGTTAATTCTTCTTCAAAGAGATCGTCCTTGGGGTACATATTATGCATAAACACAGACTCCCAAAGACCGGAGGCCAGGGAGGAGGGAATTCTGTCCGAGCACCCACAAATATAGCGATCGTATCATGGAAAAAAATTGAACAGACGCCATAACACTCACCTGTCACTTGACCCAGTTTCGCTTCCGCGAGAGGCATTATGGGAGGGGAACTGACAGGGAGGAATTGCGCTCAAAGACGACCTCCATTTAGCATAAAGAGACAACGCACATGGTGCGAATGTCAATAAAGCCCCACCCACGCAGTGTCTATTAGTGAGCACCGTAGGGGGAATGCAATACCGCTCCCAATCGACAAATCACTCCTGAGAGAATCGAAAGGGGGTACATGTAGTTAACTCACAGTAGCAGATATGACAATAATGGACAAGTATTGTACAGCAGCGTCAAAAACAAACCAATAAACCAAGACTCACTCGGTCAGGGTGGCAGGACACTGTCCACTGGAGAGAACAGTACGGCCAAAGCTCGCACGATTACGGGAATGTGTATCGAGCTGATAATGCCGTATAAACGTGCTTGGCCGGCTCCAAATAGCGGCAGAGCAGATCTCTTCAATGGGGAGTGCCGATGCAAAAGCTTTTGATGCGGCTACTGCCCTGACCGAGTGAGCCTTCAACCCCTCAGGGGGAGGCTTGCCCTTAGCCTGATAAGCAGCACAAATACACGAAACTAGCCAGCGAGACAAAGTCTGCTTGCTCGCTGGCAGACCAGCCTTCCCGCCACCGTAACAACAGAACAGCTGGGTACCCGTGCACGGATCCCCTGCGTTCGTTTGATATAGACTTTGAGCGTCTTACGGACATCCAACGGGTGAGTGCTCGTAGGAGTGGTCCCCGATGTGGAAGGCTGGGTAAGAGTAGGAAGTTCGATAGGAGCTGTCACATGGAAAGCGTGATCGACCTTCGGTCGATGTAAGTATCTGGGAGGCCGAATACTGACACGATCCGTGTGAAACACAGTCAGCGCCCGGTCGGACGACATAGCATGTAAATCGCCGACCCTACGTCCAGATGTTACCGCCACCAAAAACACAGCTTTCCAAGTTAACAACTGAATGGAAATAGCCGATAGGTGTGAGAAAGTTGGACCGGACAGCCAATCGAGCACAATTGACAAATCCCAAGGCGGACTGGTTCGCCTGAGCGCAGGTCGAATCCGTTCTGCGCCAGCAAGAAAGCGCTGTACGAGAGGGTGCTGCCCCAGAAGAGCACCATCGACAGGGGTGTGAAAAGTGGAAATAGCGGTGGAGTAGCCACGAATGGTCGAAGCCGCCAGGTCTTCTTCCAAACGAGCTTGCAAAAACTCCAATACTCAGACTAAATCCGCAGAAAAGGGATCTGCAATGCCCCTATCTGAACACCAGCGCGCATAGCGGGACCACCTATCCTCGTACTGAACGTTTGTCGAATCCCGCCTCGAAGCCAGAATTGTGTCTGCAACTGCTGCAGGAATTCCGCGTGCCTCGAGGTTAGACCTGACAGAGGCCAAGCCACCCACTGAATCTGTGGATTTGGGTGGGGCTCCGTTCTGAGTGAGAATGTCCGGTCAGTAAAGGTAATAGAACAGGAGGCTGAGCCAGAAACCTGAGAATTACCGAAACCAGCTCTGTGACGGCCAAAGCGGTGCCAGTAGCACAAGTAGCCGAGCTGGCTGGGTGGACAGCTGTGAAAGGACACGGGAATGAGTGGTAACGGCGAACGCCCAGAGCACTTTGCCCGTCAATCCAGCAGGAAGGCGTCGGCGCAGCCAACGCCCCTGGGTCCGGTATCCGAGAGCAGAACACGGGTGTCTGATGCATCCCGCCCGGACGCAAACAGATCCACCTGGAGCGACCCGTACAACTGGGAGATTACTCTGAAAATCTGCCTGTCGAGCATCCACTCGGCGCGGGGCCAGGATCCGGCGAGAGCGCATCTGCTCGCGACGTTCTCCAGCCCTGGGAGATAAACAGGGAGTACCTGACAGTCGCACTGATCGCACCAGAAGAGAAAGTCCCGCGCCCGGAGGGCGCTGGGGACACCGTGCCTCCCTGCTTCAGGATGTACGACATGGCCGTCTGGTTGTCCAACTGAAGGCGGACTACCTGGCCACGGACATGCTCTCTGAAGCGCTCGAATACCAACCGCACAGCTCTCAGTTCCAACACGTTGATGTGAAGGTGGGCTTCGGCTTCGGACCAGAGTCCGGACGCCGACAGATTGCCCAGAACACACCCCCAGCCCATGAGGGACGCATCGGTCTGAACTGTGAGAGCTGGCGTCGGGATTTCCAAGGGGATCCCCCTGGTGAGATTCCCGACATTTGTCCACCACTGAAGGTGAGGTGTCAACCACCCGGGGACTGTGAGACTGCGCTCCAGATCCTCCGTGTGAGTCCACAGCCGAGCCAAAGCTTGCTGTATAGGGCGCATCCTCAACCGCGCCCGCCACACTACAGAGATCGTCGCCGCCATATGGCCCAGTAGACGGAGCCAAGTCCGTGCTGGTGCCTGGGGCTGGGAGAGGAACGAAGATACCATCTCCCGAACTCTGGTGATCCGGTCTGGCGACAAGGAAACGAGATCCTTGTTCGTTTGGAATCGCGCCCCAAGAAAAACCAAGTCCTGGGTGGGTACCAGGTCGGATTTCTTGAGGTTGATGATCCACCCCAGTCGAAGTTAGAATGTCTATCACTGTGTGAGTAGCATCTAGACTGCTGGCGGTGTTAGTGCTCGAGCAACCAGTCGCCGAGGTAAGGGTAGCAAGCGCCTTCCTTGCGAGCGCAGCGAGGGTAGCCGGACTAACATGAGCTTGGTGAACACCCTTGGGGCAGTCGATATGCCGAAGGGAGCACCCTGAATTGGTAACACATCCCGTCGTGAAGAGAACCGAAGGTACTGCTTGAACGAGGGATGTATGGGCACATGCAGAATCGCGCATCCTTTAGGTCGATTGACGTGAGCCAATCGCCGGGCTGAACAGATGAGATCACCGAGCGCAGTGTCTCCATCTTGAAGGATGGTACTTCGAGCATGCGATTCAACCCCTTGAGGTTGAGAATCGGACGGAACCCGCCGTCTTTCTTCGGGACGAGGAAGTACGTGGAGTAAAATCCCGCCTGTTCCTCTCCCGGTGGAATGCGCTCGATTGCGGACTTGTCCAGCAGAGCCTGAACTTCGTCTCGCAATATGTCCGCCCTTGCCTGATATGACGGCACCAGAGTGCGGCGTATGCCGGTGAAGTCGGGCGGACCTCGCTTCCACAGTCGTAAATGGCCAATGCTGACCATGGCCAGCACCCAAGCATTGTTGGTAGCCTTCTCCCATTCCGGCAGGAATAGAGAGAGGCGGCCTCCCACTGGGATATGGGGTAGGAGCGCGTGCGTTGTCCCGAGCAGCGGAGCTGACTGGGTGTGACACACGGCTTGAGCGGCAGCCTGATGGGTTAACGGGAGGTCGGGGCAGACCTCCCGCGCCCGCGAAAAGGCTGGGAGATAGTCGAGGACTGCTCCTTGCCCCTACCCTTGGCGGACCTGCTCCTCCGCCTACCCCTACCAAGCGGCCGAAGCCAGCCGGCAGACTCAGGTGTAGGCTGCACCCCGGCGGAGGAAGGTGGAACGGGAGCGCGTGGGCGAGACACCCGCGGGTGCTCCAACAAGGCCTTAGAATCCTTGAAGGAGGTAGCTGCAGCAGCAGCCTCCCGTATGACCTGCTGGGCCCCTGGAAAGAGGGTCGCTCCCAGACGGAAAGGGAGGGCCAGCAAGGTCTGCTGCGTCGCTGCCGAGTACCGAGACGTCGACAGCCACAGCTTGCGCATCCCCATGACTGCGCACATCACCGTCGACGCAGCAGACCACAAAGAGTCGCGCGCGAGGTGGGCCTGCACTTCCGAGAGCTGACGGAGCAGCACGACATGCGGCGAAACGTCGCCAGCATGCCCCTCCGCCTCCAGGGCCGACCTCTGAATAGAGGAGAGGTAGGCCTCGTGGACCACCACCCTGACCTGCTGCATCGCGTTCCGGTAGACCTCCTCGTAGGTCCGGTACGCGTGCTGCAGGGGGGCGCCGCGAGGGCAAACGGTGGTGTGAGGCGCCCTTGCCGAGCAGCCGGAGCTGCTCCGGAGGAAGCCGAGTCTCCCCCCAGGGCGACGGAAGTGAACACGCACTCGTCGATGATGGAAACTGCGAACAGGGAGTCCTCCCCAAGCTGGTAGCGCCGCACGAGATCCGGCAAGTTGAACCGGACTCGGGTACCAGACAAGAGGGGATCAACCACGTCCGAGACCAACGAAAGCAAGATGCGGAGCTGCGTCTGCGAGGGTTGCCTAGGGGCAAACGCCTCGCCAGGCAAGCGGAACTCAGCCGAGTCCGCGCGACCCACAGGCACCGCGGCTTGGGGTAGGCCCTCGGCAATTCTTTGCCGGACCTCCCGCAGAGCCGAAGCAAAACGGAAGCCTCCGTCAGGCTCCTCTACCTCCCCAAGCTCCATCGACTCGGCGCCCGAGCCCGAGTCAGAGGCTGGGTCTCCTCCGGAAGAGGACCCTAACCCCGACCCGGTGGGCTGCCTAGCGCTAGGAAGCACAGAGAGGGAAGAGCAGACAGACTGCTCCACGTCGGCGCCAGCAGGCGTGCACGGACCCCGGTCCCGAGACGCTGGAGGCAGACCAGGCAGAACTGGTGCCTCCGCTCTCATGGGGCGGGAGTGCGCAGGGACCGGAACACCAGGAATACTCAACGGTCCCTGCGCCAACTCGCGAGAGGGGGACTGGGAACACCTCCCCTTCCGGGGCAGCCGAGGCGTCCGGACCCGAAGCCAGAGGCAACGGGTCTACAGACGCCTCAAGGCTGAGGGATCGAGCCGAGCCCGGCGATCCCAACCCCTGACTCTCCGCCCCCCGTCCGGAGTGAGCGAGGAACTCCTGCCGGAGACCTCCAACTGACTCACGAACGAGGGACTTCACCGAGTCCATATGCTGCTGAAACAAACAGTCCATTAAAGTCATGTCAAAACCACCAGTACTGGCGGGAGAAGGGGTTTGGCCTCGGGAATTTTTTCCCTTTTTAGACTGTTTTTTAGTCTTAGACGGGGGGACCTGCGTCAGTTCCCCACCCGCCTCACGCATTTCTCTGTAGAATAGCGTATCCGCCGCCCTCCTCTTTTGGGCCCGGGGGGAAAACCCAAGACAAATGGGACATGAGTCTGCATCGTGGCCCGTCTTCTCTAGACAGGCAACGCATTGATCATGCCTGTCGGCCCGTGGAATACTCTGTCCACAGACCGAACAGGAAGAAAAGGCCTGAAAGCAAACACGCAAGCATGTAGCTAACGGCGGACCAGCAGCATATATACACGTAGAAAACATTGAAAAATACGTGAAGTCTACCACGGGAAGAAATAGCTGGTTCAAAACGCAATATTACAACCACGTGGCACGCTAAACTTCCCGCCATGGCAGAGCAACATGTGCGTAAACCACGGGAAAGTTAGCGTAAAATAATTAATACAAAGTCACAATTATGAAACAACCGACTGCAAAGCTTTACTGTTCCTTTTGCAAAGGTAATAAAGACCATATATACAGGTGGTGTCTCAGACATAGTCGTATTCTTATGAAGAAGGTTCAGCACTGTACGGCTCATGAAAACTCAATACGTCTGTTCATGGCAGTGACAGCAGAAGGAATGATGATACGAGTCTAGGAGCCTACCCAGTTGGTGCGCATGCGTAATGGGAGGTAACTCCGTGAGGTAGGGGCCGTATAATAAATAAAAGAGTTTATTTATTGTTCAATCTTTTTATTCAAAAACATTGATACAACTGTCACAGGACATTTTTCAGCCGGAAAATGCATAATATGTACCCCAAGGACGATCTCTTTGAAGAAGAATTTCCACTGAGATCTACAATTTACCTGAGTTCTGTTAAGATATAGACATACTGTCTACCTGTGCTCTCCTCACCTCTACATCATGAACAGTTTACCCGTGTTCTCCTGACCTCTACGTGATGAACAGTTTACCCGTGTTCTCCTGACCTCTACGTGATGAACAGTTTACCCGTGTTCACCTGACCTCTACATCATGAACAGTTTACCTCTACCAGTATACCTGTATTCTCCTGACCTCTACATGATGAACAGTTTACCTGTATTCTCCTGACCTCTACATGATGAACAGTTTACCTGTGTTCTCCTGACCTCTACATGATGAACAGTTTACCTGTGTTCACCTGACCTCTACATGATGAACAGTATACCTGTATTCTCCTGACCTCTACATGATGAACAGTTTACCTGTGTTCACCTGACCTCTACATGGTGAACAGTTTACCTGTGTTCACCTGACCTCTATACATGATGAACAGAATACCTGTGTTCTCCTGACCTCTACATGATGAACAGTATACCTGTATTCTCCTGACCTCTACATGATGAACAGTTTACCTGTGTTCACCTGACCTCTACATGGTGAACAGTTTACCTGTGTTCACCTGACCTCTACATGATGAACAGAATACCTGTGTTCTCCTGACCTCTACATGATGAACAGTTTACCTGTATTCTCTTGACCTCTCCTCTACATGATGAACAGTTTACCTGTGTCAGGGTTTGACACTCACTGATTTCTCCCACATGATGAACAGGCAACCTGAAAGTGTAAACCTGACCTGCCCATGATGAACAGATACCTGTGTTCTCCTGACCTCATGTTACGATGAACAGTTTACCTGTGTTCACCTGACCTCTACATTGAAACTATACCTGTGTTCCTGTGTTCCCTGACCGTGATGGTGATGAACAGTTTTTCCCAGCCAATGTTCTCCGTGACCTCTACATGATGATTAGTTTACCTGTGTTACCACACAGTGAATTGAGGTTAGAAGATGAACAGTTTACCTGTGTTCACCTGACAAGCCTTTGATGAACATTTTACCTGTGCCCTGATTAACTTGATGTACTTACCTGTGTTCACCTGACAAGCATGAGTGTTTTACCTGAACAGTTCACCTGTGACCTCTACATGATGATGAACAGTTTACCTGTGTTCACCTGACCTCTACATGATGAACAGAATACCTGTGTTCTCCTGACCTCTGCATGATGAACAGTTTACCTGTGTTCTCCTGACCCTACATGATGAACAGTTTATGATGAACAGTTTACCTGTACCTCTACATGATGAACAGTTTACCTGTGTTCTCCTGACCTCTACATGATGAACAGTTTACCTGTGTTCACCTGACCTCTACATGATGAACAGTTTACCTGTGTTCTCCTGACCTCTACATGATGAACAGTTTACCTGTGTTCTCCTGACCTCTACATGATGAACAGTTTACCTGTGTTCTCCTGACCTCTACATGATGAACAGTTTACCTGTGTTCTCCTGACCTCTACATGATGAACAGTTTACCTGTGTTCACCTGACCTCCTGAACTACCTGTGTTCATGATGAACAGTTTACCTGTGTGACCTCTACATGATGAACTACCTGTGTTCTCCTGACCTCTACATGATGAACAGTTTACCTGTGTTCTCCTGACCTCTACATGATGAACAGTTTACCTGTATTCTCCTGACCTCTACATGATGAACAGTTTACCTGTGTTCTCCTGACCTCTACATGATGAACAGTTTACCTGTGTTCTACCTGACCTCTACCTGATGAACAGTTTACCTGTATTCTCCTGACCTCTACATGATGAACATGAGTTTACTTGTATTCACCTCCCTGACCTCTACATGATGAACAGTTTACCTGTGACCTGACAGTTTACCTGTGAACAGTTCACCTGACCTCTGAACATGTTCATGAACAGTTTACCTGTGTTCACCTGACCTCTACACGATGAACAGTTTACCTGTGTTCACCTGACCTCTACATGATGAACAGTTTACCTGTGTTCTCCTGACCTCTACTCCTGACCTCTACATGATGAACAGTTTACCTGTGTTCACCTGACCTCTACATGATGAGTTCTCCTGATACCTGTGTTCTCCTGACCTCTACCAGTTTACCTGTGTTCACCCTGACCCTACATGATGAACAGTTTACCTGTGTTCTCCTGACTCCTCTCTACATGAGAACAGTTTACCTGTGTTCACCTGACCTCTACATGATGAACAGTTTACCTGTGTTCTCTTGACCTCTACATAATGAACAGTATACCTGTGTTCACCTGACCTCTACATGATGAACAGTTTACCTGTGTTCTGACCTCCACGTTATGAACAGTATACCTGTGTTCTGGGATCCTTGCTCCTCTGAGCAGAGAGGAATGCAATAGCCATGAAGTACTCTGGCCACTCCAGATAGCCCTCCCTCTTCTGACTGCCAGCCACCACCCTATAAACAAACATCGGGAATTACCAACAGGCCTCACAAACGACCATCTCGGGTACACTGTATAATTTCAACATTAACAAAATATGGGGGGAATGAAGCCCTGGTCAGTAGGTATGAGTGAGTGAGTTTAGTTTTCCGACGCTTTTAGAAATATTCCAGCAAAATCACGGCAGGGGACACGAGAAATGGGCTTCACACATTGTATCCATGTGGGGGAATCGCACCGTGGCCTTCAGCGACACCAGCGAACGATTTAACCACAAGACTACCCATCTGCCCCTAGTACGTATGGAAAACAAAACATCAAAAAAAAGGATGACAAACACACAGAACGTGAATATGTCATTATGCGCAAAGTGTCTCACAGACTTGCAGTTTCAAAGTAAAGAATTTCTTTGTGACGCAGGAAGTTGTTTTTTTTAATATTTTGTGATTTTTCTTTAATATTCTGAAGAAAATGTTTGATTTAGGTACAGCCATGCCCTGTTTATCCAGACACTTGTGTTTTTTTAAAAATTGTCCGGATAAATGAATTTCCAGGTATATCTGAACCACGGAGCATATGTTCATAGACATACAAAGAAACGAACATAATAGACCTCACACATAATCTTCATTGACAAGGCATCAACAAATCACATAAAATCACATCTTGTCAAATAAAGCAGTCAAGTCAATAACATGTGCGAACATACCTGTACATGCATCTGTCTGTCAAATGCTAGCAACCAATCACGAAACAGTTCTGATGTCATCCTCGCGTTCGCATTGTTGCTGTACCTAACATAAACTTCCGGATTAATGTCACTTCCAAAAAAACGGGGACGTCTAGCCTTGCCAATCACATCTCGCCTTGCTAATTACAGGTAGTTAATCCTCTCACACTTCAAAGACTGCCGACTTCTTTTATGTTAGGGCACGTAAGCTCTGTAAAATGCGTGTGTAAACATACTGACAGGTGCTCAGCCATCCGGATATACGAGAAAAAAATGCATATGATTTAGCATTTTGTATGTGAAAATGACCGTCCGGTTACGGAAACTGGATTTCCGGATAAGTGAGTAATTTTACAACATTGTGAATTTGTTCTGAGGAATTTTTGTTTGGAAGGCAAGTTTTCCAGATATCTGAGGTTCGGATAAACGGGGCACGACTGTATTTTTATTTACAAATCTTAGATAACAGACAAATTGATATACCTTGATGATACATATCGGTTTCTCTAAATCCCTTTTCCAATTTGTTTTAACTTACTTGTTGAAAATGTATCAGAAATATATAAACAATAATATGCATTATGAATACTATACCTCCTGTTCCAGACTGTTACTAGCGTTAGTCATTCCACTGCTAGGTATAATGTCAATCATTGGCCGATCCAGGGATTTTGAAAGGATCCAGATAGCATTTGGACGTTGGCCCAATGTTGGCAAAACCATTGGCAACGTTGGGCCAACGTCTGAATGCTATCTGGCGAGGGGGTTCAGGGGGTTCTGGATCCGCCACTGTAAATGACCTGTGTGAACCTATTGTGAAACATCCCATCCAATCAACATCATGACTTGCCCGTCACTCCAGTTGGTTTGCTTTTTAAGAACTAAATTTCAACTTTGCACCTGATTCTGACATCATGTGGTCCGTCATTCAATTTTGCAGTGACACCTAGCCTGGGTGCTGTCAAACTTCATGGAGTCTGACCACAGGGTTACATAAGGTATGAGGTAACTACATCCCACACTTGAGACATTTGTAACCTACAATCAAATTCATCGTTAGTGTAATAACTTTATAAACAATAACAGTTTATCACATCTTTCTAAATTGCTACATTTTTTTTCTTTTCTAATCTTAGATGAACCGAGTCTTAAGGCTGAAACCAAAAATATGGAGTTCATAAAGAATGTTGGGATTCGTGTGCGATTATTGGTTATCTCCCTTTCATGGCCGACTCGTTTTTCCCGTGTATACAAAATTCATTTTCAAGGGTTAACTAACTTGTTGTTAAACAATTTTGGGTAACATACGCGAGGATGATTTGCAGTGGGGGAGTGATCTGATAATCTTTACCAACTTTGAAGCTGTCTAAATACTTTTTCAATATGAATATAAGATTTATCGTGACACCTTTTGAGGGCACACACTGACACTGTGACAGTGATCGTGTGATCCAGAGACCGATGATAACTCAACTTCCAGAAGTCTACAGATGTGCTTCTATTGCTATTTTTTACCCGTTCGGCTGCGTAGTTGCTTGGTCCATTGCACGTTTTCAACTTTTCAAAAAGTTGGTCTCTCGCACTATGTTGCTCTCAAATTTTTGCGGGAAAGTTGGATGACGTGTTTTGGGGAGCGCTGTTTGCGAAAAGAAGAGTACTCATTTCTGTACGAAACATCTGACAACGTAAGCAAAATTTGGGAAATCCATTTATAATTACATGTATGTAGTTAGACTTGACTAAAAATTCCTTTCACACTAAAGGAAGATGCAGAGAGAACAAAAGAATATATACGGTTTAATACACAATTACTGCTCCCTGTGTGTGTTTCTTCCTCTGAAAAAACGTAAACAAGCCCCTGAATATTCGCTTTACGGAAACAAAGGCTCGACATTAACGCTACCAATCGTAAATATTGTGAAATTTTTCATGAGAAAGTTGTTTTATCCACTCACAACTAACTATTAGCTTATGGGAAATTAATTGTTGTTTCACTCAGAGACCATATGTAATAATTAAAAGATCAGTATATAACCAGGGATAATCTACAACATCTCACAGTCCCCTGATATAACTAGTCGATGTTTTACAGGGTAGTAATAACACAGACGTTGTAGTTCACGCGTCGTCGTTTATCTAAGCAATATTCCAGCTTGATAACAGCGGTCTGTAAATAGTCGAGTCTGGACCAGACAATACAGTGATTGATATCATGAGCAACTGGGATACGTAAACATATAGTGTCAACCATGTTAGCGAGCCTGACCACCTGATCTCGTTAGTCGCCTCTTACAACAAGCATGGGTTGTTGAAGACCAATTCTAACCCAGATCTTTACGAGTTTTAGTTGTCGTTGGGCAGATCCAATAATTCAAACTGAATATGATCAAGTCACTCAAACTGCTTACAAGACAATATGATGGCACGAGGAATTTGGAAACACGAGTTATATTTTAATTCACAGAATATATTTCTAGTTAAAAATTTCAAATAAAAAGTTCAAACTTGTGTTAGTACTGGATAAATTAATAAATATTTTCGAAAGTTCATATTATTGTCCGACTCTCCTATAAACTATGTAGCAACAAATTGATAACAAAGTAGAGAATTGGATTTACAAAGGCCAGGTGTGAAAGGCGAAGGCGGACGCAGGGCCAAGCCAAAGCGATTTAATTACCTGCTCTCCGTTGGACCCTGAACAGACGAGACAGGTAGCGGCGATGTTTCAAATGCTATTTTGACCACCCGAAGGTTGGAAGTAGCCTCTATTGGAAAATAGACAGCCTAGCAGCAGCAGCGAAGTATAAATCGAGCGAGAGATTGGTTCCGCGTCCGCCCCGAACTTCGCCACCGAGCACTGAAAGTGCTGCGCCATCCACACCGAAATAAAGTAGAAAGTGTTATGTCATGTTATGTTTTGGTAGAATTGATAATGTAAAATTATGGAGGGAAAAACACAGGAGGACTCCACCAAGTTTGCCAATGAAAGTACCAGATAAATGAACTTATGATGAACTTATGCTGCAGCGAATGTCATCACAGAAAATGTGCAACCCGACGGGAGTCAAGTGTACCCCATCACTGATGTAGTGATCTATACCTGGGTAGATAAAGTCGTGGCGGATGACTTCACCGTCGATTGTCCTCATGAGATTGGCAACACGCCTATTCAGCTTCTTACGGCCAAGTTCAACACACTTAATGTCTCAGCAACACCGCGGCAACATATTGGACCACAGGAGCCTGGTGTGGGGAAGCCGCAACCGAGTGTAGAGTAGCTGCTCGTTGATCTGCTGAAAGAGCTCCCGGCCGGTGGTGACTCCGAGGTCGTTTGAGCCCAGGTGTAATACTAGGATCCGGGGTTGACTGGCTGCGTTGGCGATCAGATCATCTATTGCCGGCCTGTAATGGCGCCATGTCCAGCCCCCCTTGACACGCCACTCCACCGGGCCCACGCTGCCGAGGGTGTCCGCCAGCGCAGGTCTCGCTCGGGCCAGGTAGCTGTCGCCAACTACCCACACACCTACAACGATTACGCAATTTGTCATTATAATTATGGAAGCAGTTTACATTCTTATATATTGGAGATAACAATCAGATGACCATCGACCAAATCTTTTAATGGTCTCTGCATCAACTCCGTTCATAGCTGCCGTAGTAGCAGCCCCGATTCTGAAAGAGTGAGAAGTGAATTTAAGATGCCCCACGTCAAGATGACTGATGGCTTTCTGCAGCACTGCCTGAAACTGAAATCTAGTTAGTTGTTTGCCATCAAAGTGAAGGAAAAGGTAAGGGGAAGCAGTCGGTCGCGATTTTAAATATGTTACCATGGCAGCGACGGGACATAGCGGAAATATGGAATAGTTTTGATGTGGATAGAAGTACCTTTACCTGTTTGATCAGTCTTAGAATATTGAAGTGTGACATGCATGGCCGCTGCGTTACCTGTAATCTTTACATCATGAATAGTGAGAGACCTACGCGACGTGTCAGAAAGGGAGGTAGGTACCAACTCACTTATCCTGAAGAAACCGAAAAAGGCCAGTGTATATGCTGCTTTAAAAAGATTGCATTCATAAACAGAAGAACAAACAATATGAAGAACGTTGGAAATTGATAATAATATTTCTGCTGTGATCGGGCGTCGACTATCTTTAGCCCTAGCTGCTTTGCTGAATCCTAAGAGCGTCTTCCGCACCAGGAAATGTTGGGATGCATCCTGCATGTCGTGCCACTTGTGACAGGTTCCCAGTGCTGAGATATAGGCGTTGGCCGTTCTAGACGATTTACCCTGCAATGACAATGCTGACAAGTAATACATACGATGATCAAGCGGTGCCGGCCATGTAGATGGGAGACATTGTGACACTCTGAACTCGTTGAAAGACTGTAACGCTGTATGATAGGTCCTCCAAGTGTTTCTGGATAGTGACAGGTCCAGTAAAGACTCCAGTCTTAGATGTCCCAGATGTCCGGTGGTAGTGGTGTTGCTGTTGAGTCTGCTTGTGGTGCTGCTTCCCGAAAACGATCCCACTGAAACCTCGAAATAGCATCAGCTATAACATTATCATGAGTAGAAATGTACCTGGAACGGAACAGAATATTTTGATTCAGACATGAAGCTACTAGCAAACGCACGAGAGACATCACCTTGGGGTTCTTGGATGTTTGCCTGTTGATGATGGACACGACAGCTTGGTTGTCACACACAAACATTACCTCGTTGTTAAGAAACTTAGGTGCCCACAAACGTAGGGCTACGATGACAGGAAACAATTCCAGGAAAGTCATGTCTTTCATGTAGCCCGCTCTCATCCATTCGCCTGGCCATTTACCATACGCCCAACTCCCATGGAAGTATACCCCGAACCCGCACGAACTGGCAGCGTCTGTGAAAAGCTCTATTTGGGTTGACGTGATCCACTCTTCATTCTGAAACACAGATGTACCATTATGGTTGAGGAGAAATGTTTGCCAGACTTTAAGATCTTCTTTCACTCCCCTGGTAATCCTGACTCGGTGATATGGTTTTACCTGACCCTTGATTGCGTCGTACAGGCGCCTGCAGAAAGCTCTGCCCGCTGAGATAGCACGTGTAATGAACTGGAGTCTACCGACCAATGATTGCACCTCTCTACCCGTATTTTCTTTGAAATGCACATCTTTGGGTGTTTGTAAACATGAGCACGTGTTTTGTTAAGAGGAATTTATTGTGTTTGCTGTAAAGAAATGATATGTAATTGTCAGTAGAATGAGAATAATTGTAGGAATTCAGGAAATGCATGGAGCGTACAATAACGACATTTAGCCAAATAATGCTAAATGGAATTATTTAAACACGAGAACAGTGACGCAACATATAGCACAACAGATTTCTCAAAATCAGACTACGCCCCTAACTTGGATATTTTCGTGAACAAGATTTGCCGCGAGGATCAAACTGCAGCATATAGAGAAAACTCCAATCATTCAACAATGACACAAGAGAAACCATGATGAGCAAGTAGTTTTGACGCCACTGGAACACATAGTTGCAATGGCGGAAGATGACGTCGACAAACATATTATTTGTGACATCACAATTGATGTATGTGGCGTTTCAACAATAGAGTATCTGATGGCACAGTGATGTTCAACGTTAAATACTGACCCACTGACCAACCACAAAGCTGGGAACACTGTCTGAGTCTACAGCAGTGGTATGCACTCATGTACAATGTGGACGCCAGTGGGTGTGTATACGTCGGTTTGTACAGCGTTGGTACATTGTAGTATGTGTTGTCCACATGAAGATCAGAGTACGTAATTATAAAAGTATTTTATAGTCCCTTCATTGACGGACCAAGGAAAGGAGAGTGTCAATGTTGAATTTAGAATTAATAATATTGCAAATTTCAGTTTTTATGGTGGCACGTTCACGGTCTGTTACAGGGTCTTTGTAGAGAGTTGTACTACTGACTGACTGAGTTTGGTTTTACGCCGCTTTTAGCAATATTCCAGCAACATCACGACGGGGGACACCAGAAATGGAGAGTGGTACTATATACTCATGGAAACGAATAAGGGAACACATGAAAGTACACATGTTCCTTTATGTATTTCCAGAATTTCACCCACAGTGCAATACATACCTTGTGAAGAAACCTGGAATAGAATACAGGAACACTTGAACACGTATTGAACATGACCCCTGCGAGACAGTCATATGTGTAACTGGTAACATGAAGGCTGGATTTGTTATTGCTTGTTTGTTGTTTCACGCCGCACTCAGCAATATTCCAGCTCGAGTCTGGACCAGACAATCCAGTGATCGGCATCAAGAGATTCCATCTACGCAATTGTGTTACAATGACATGTGTCAACCAAGTCAGCGAGCCTGACCACCCGGTCCCGTTAGTTGCCTCTGATGAATAGAATGGGTTGCTGAAGATCAGTTCTAACCCAGATCTTCATGGGTTTGAATGCTGGCAGAGTCGGATCACAAACCAATAATACGTTCACCCCAATACACATGTGTGTATACACACGTGGGTATAACAGTCATGTGGACGCGTTAACTTTTTGTGTATATTTACACCAGGAGCACATTTCCAAAATGCCTGGAGCAGGTGCCAAATGTAACTTTAAA